AAGACAAACATACCTGCTATAGCAATAGTCCTAAAATTACACAACACGAAAGGAGAAGAAGTTTCAGCTGGAGGATGGGGAGCAGGGTGGGCAATGCAAGGGAAGGGTAGTAAGGGAAATTGAAAGCATTCCCCCTGAGGATTGGAACAAGATAAGGATGTCCACTTTCACCACTTCTATTCAACATAGTACTGGAAGTCTTAGCCAGAGCAATGAGATGACAGAAAGAAATAAAGGGCATCCAAATCCGTAAAGAGTAAATCAAACTGTCACTCCTTTGCTAGACACAAGGAGGATTAAAGGCCCACAAAAGAAATCAACTAAAATTATATGAAACAAGACTACTTATAAATTATGAATTGTGGAAATAATTTATAATGGTTTAAGAAATCTCATAGGATTTTTCTTCTAAAAAAAATCCATATTTACCAATCTTATGTTTTAGGATTTAATAGAAGGCACACTAGAGTAAACCTTGACCATATGCATAAGTTTGAGAATGTGGAAATTAAGAGAAAAATGAAAATCAGATCTGCCTCCACCACCCAACTGTTACTGTAATTTCTTGAGTGAACGGCTACTGCATTAGCCTGTTACACAGACTCTCTGCGTTCACTCTCATCCCCATTAAAGTAAGCCCTGTTGTAATCACTTGTTTACTTCTGTGCTTTTTCCTAATAGATTGTAATTCCCATGAGGGTTAAGACCATTTTTATTCTATTTGTATCCCCAATGTATCACAGATAGGCCAGCATATAGGAAATATTCAATAATGATTGAAATAAGAATTAGTGAATAAACTACATATGGACTACTTCATTTACCGTTCAGAACAACTGTGAGTCACATCTTGTTCCTACAAATTTTTAATTAGAAAACCAAAGCTTAATTCAGCAATTTGTTCAAGGTTATATAACTTCAAAGTATTTGACTCTGTTCATATTCTACAATGCATAGTTTCATTTCTGTTCAAACTGCCTTAGAAGACTGTAGCATCATAATTTGACTCAATATTTGCCTTTCAAATTTCTATCAATTTAAGAATGTATGAGAATTGCTAATTTGAGAAACTCCCATAGCTTTTTTCAACTTTAAATCCATGACCCACTATGAAAGATTTTCAGAGAGCAGAGCATGGCAGCTGAAAGCCAATGAGTTAGAACTTGAGTGTTCTGGATCAAGGGCCTCTCAATGAGGTTGGACCCGGAGGACACAAAATGGAAGATGCGTGTGGATGTGATCTCCTCCTTACAGAGCTTCCTCATCTACACGGCCCTGCGGCAAGTCACCGCTTTTACCTTAAAGAAATTGGGCAGCATATGAAAATTGGGCATCACATGTGAATGCCAGATATGAATAACTTGGTTACAGTTTCTACTCCCATCTGCAAATAAAGAGGCCCAGAAAAGTGTAAGAGACTCTTCGATTGAATGGACATAAAAATTCTACTTGTTAAGAACAAGTTTGGCTCTGGTAACTGAGGTCCATAGCTAAAATATAAAACTATTTGGGAAGTACGAAAAGATGTCTCATGGTCATAGTGTGCCCTTAGGCCTGTGATATTCAGCCTTTTGTGAATGTTAGTATAATAATAAACAATGTCAAGCTCCATTTTCTGGCAAGTATTAATTATAAGGGAATTATATCTCTATGACAGCTATGTCTGTTTACCCTTATACTTCTATCTACAGTGTATTTGTCAACAGTCCCTTAGTTACACTGTATGAAAGTCAGCACATAACCACAATGACATTTAAGCACAGGACCATTCATCTATGTTTTTAATAAATGTACCAATTAAAAAAAAAGATTTTCAGACTTTATACATAGCTTGATTAGTTTTAAAAGTAATTGTTTTCACATCCAAAAACCTTTTTAAATACTAAATATATTATTTCAAACTATAAGACCCCAATCCTAATTCTCTTCTGATAAGAATCACAGCTATTATGAAATTAATTTATATTAAATACTTGACTCTTTATCTTGACACTTCATGAATTATATCTAGAAAATCATTTAGAAACGCTTCCAAATGTGTATATCCTATAGATAATTCATATTTACTCCAAACAAAGTCCTACAGATGACTGCCTATATTTCCTATCAAAGTTACTCATTTGTCAAGGCTTGATTGGTCCTGATTATATTAAGACAAACTACCAGTAAATGTTAATCTTTTTTCTGCATGATTAATAAGGCCATGCACTACTATTTTCCTTGTGGTTTATAAATTGCAATTCTAATCTACAATGTGATGAAAGAATACAATGATATATTGAGCAACAATGACAACTATTTACTACAAATATCCATGATTCATTTTTAAGTGATCTTAACAGGTGAACATGAATGAGAACAGATGATTGTCTAGCTTGTTTCCTCCCCACCCCAGACCAATACTACATAGATATGCAGTGATCTCGGTTTTGTTCAAACTTCCTTCTGGTTAAGGAGGACCATAAGGCAAAACCTCTATTGATACTGCCAATATGAACATTCTATACAATGTTTTTTGATTGCTACATTCCTCCTTCAGGATTTCTGGTGCCTCCTTCAGGTTTAACTTGGAATACTTTTCCAGAAACTGCTTTTTAACCTAACAAACTCTTCCCGAGCATGTGTACCTGTCACCTTAACTAATATCTTAAGGAAAAAAACTTTCAAATATATCCCCTATACAGTTTCTATTCCCCTCTGCTGTTTCTCTCATTTTCCAGATATACATTCCCCAAAACCCTCATTCCAATGCCTACAACATACCTGTCTTCCTTTCCTCAATTTCTTGTTAGAATTAACATAAGTTTCTTAATTTTAAAACACCTCTTTATAGCATTTTGGCCTAATAATTATTTAAATTTTTCACTGTGCCTGCAATTAGTCTAAATAACATGTAAATTTCTGTTCTTGACCCAAGCCCTATCTGACTTTCCTTTCATGCCATTTTCCTTACTTAAGCCTCATTCCCAACTAAGTCTCATTCCCAGTCAAGTTTTATGATCATGTTCATTTATTTACCGTCTTAAATGATTCCTTCTACCTCTTTGAACATTTACAGTGTTACAATATTTAAGGGAAAATCCCATAATTTCCTATTTACTACCTTAGGACATTTTCTTTGGTTTGTTTAAATTTTTCAGGCCATTTACTGTTCTGTTTTGCTGGCTGGGAAATATGAATTTGCTCTACACCATGACCCTTGAAAAAAAACAAAGCCACTATAGTGACAAAAATCTCAGATATTTCCTGCTGTTTAACAAAATTATGAAACCACTCATATTTTGCTGTAGGAATCCAATTTTTAACCTGCCACTTTTAATAAATATTTCCATATTAGGAAGCAAGCAGCTGGAAGCAATTTAGAGAAACGGTGCCTGATACATTTTTCCCCTCTCTTTTTAGATTTCAAGAACGACAGTATTGATTTCATTTTTAACTTGTGTCCAAATTGGCTATATAAATTTCTCATCTCTCACAGCTTTTGGAATTCTTCTAGAACTCAGAAATTTTATAAGCTACATAGCAAAAAATAAAAATAAAAAATAAAAAGCAGTAACATTAAAAGGAAAGGTAACTTGTGTCACATGGTCATTTAGCTAACAGGGTTAAGGGAAACTGACCACATAGGGGAGGCAACAAGGCGATAATGAACTAAGTTAAAAGTCCCAGGACAGGACAGGTGCGGTGGCTCATGCCTGTAATCCCAGCACTTTGCAAGGCCAAGGCGGGTGGATCACTTGAGGTCAGGAGTTCGAGACCAGCCTGGCCAACATAGTGAAACCTCATCTCTACTAAAAACACAAAAATTAGCCATGCATGGTGGTGAGCACCTGCAATCCCAGCTACTGGGAAGACTGAGGCAGGAGAATCACTTGAACCTGGCAGGCAGAGGTTGCAGTGAACCAAGTTGCACCATTGCACTCCAGCCTGGGACACTGAGCAAGAACCTGTTTCAAAAAAGAGTCCTGGGACAGAAATCATGAAACTATTTCAAACAATATGACACTATGATATACTTCTCTTACAGGAGTGTCTCAGCTATCTACACTTCTACCACCTTTCTTCCAAGTGATACCAGAGACTCAGCAAGAATGTGCCAGTAGCTAATTTAATCAGAATTTGTTTAAACAAAATGGGAGAGCATCAAAATAACATTCAAGATGTTTCACTGTACATTTGACTGAGAATTCCACAATTGGCTCCAACACCTATAAGAAAAGCGTATTACTTGACAGTCTGGCTAGTGTGGCTTAAAGCAGAGTTTCTGTAAATTCATTCATCATTAAAGTCTAAACAAACAAATGTCATATAACACTAGCTATTCAGTTAACCACCAATTTTTACAAGTATACAAAAACACACACATGCATGTGCATCTACACTATCTATAACCCTATTAGCCAAATCACAGAGAATCTATGATTTAAAGCCTTCACAAAGAACTACAATAATGGAAGAAAGATATATGCTAAATTCAAACTGGGTTTGGTACCTGGTTGCCATTTGTTGGTACCATTTTTAACACAGTATTTTAAGACATTTAAGAGATGTTAAAGCTGTCCTCTTGGCCACCCAAAAGGAGATCATCACTGTTATGTCTGACATTTTTCTATAATGACTTATGTTATTAAATCCCAATACACACATGGGCTGTATGTTAACAGCAAGTGAAACAAGCATCACTGCCACCGCCAAGCTATGTTCACAACTACCATGTGCAGTAAAGTTTCCAAGTTCTACCTTGTATTGTATACAAATATTAGCTAAGCAGAAAGTACCAAGTGAAAAGTCAAAGGCTAGCCTATGTGTACTATGTTTCAACAAAAAAGTGCCCGGATGATGTCCAATATTATTCAAAATTGGATATTCTTACACATACCATTTGTAAAACTGTGGTGTGCAAAGCCACATAGTGGTGATTAAAAAAAAAAAAAAACTACTGGAATCATTACAGAACTTGGAAGGGTAAAAGGACCCTCCAGGATCACCTAGAGAAACACCACCTACCCACTCCCAATCCCTGGAAAGTCAAGAGAGAATTTCAAGATCACATAGACAATATCAGCAAAGTCAGGGTTAGAACCCCAAACCCTCCAAAAACCTAGTCTGTGCTCCTACCCTGACACTGTATGTAAGAGTATCTTATATTTCATCTTAGCCAAATGGCCGAGAAGCAATATATAACAGTATCTCCAACGGAAACACCTTAGAGCTAGACCTTCCTCTGCAAATCACAGTTTTCCTAAGCAATACTGAGAGACCTCATAAAATAAGAAGAGTAGATTGACAGCAAATGTTCTCTTTAAAATGAAAAGAATCCTTGAAGGAATTCATTTTTAAAAGTGTAATTTTCAAGACAGCGGGACGTTCCGCTTCACAGAGGGAACCTTCATAGTGCTAGTGATGGAAGAGAATTAAATATGGGTGATGTTGAGAAAGGCAAGAAGATTTTTGTTCAGAAGTGTGCCCAGGGCCACACGGTGGAAAAGAGAGGCCAGCACAAAACTGGGCCTAATCTCCATAGTCTCTTCGGGTGGAAGACAGGTGAAGCTGTTGGATTCTCTTACACAGACACCAATAAGAACAAAGGCATCACCTGGGGAAAGGATACACTGATGCACTATTTGGAGACTCCCAAGAACAACATCCCAGGAACAAAAATTATCTTTGCCGGCATTAAGAAGAAGGCAGAAAGGGCAGACTTGATAACTAATCTCAAAAACGCTACTAATGAGTAATAATTGGCCACTGCCTTATTTATTACAAAACAGAAATGTCTCATGACTTTTTTATGTGTACCATAATTTAATAGATCTCACATACCAGAATTCAGATAATCAATGACAGAATATTTTGTTCGGCAGTCCTGATTTAAAACTAAGACTGGTTTGCGGTTAAATGAATATGTTTGGTTTTTTGAATTTTAATAGTAATTCCAATTCAGTAAATGCTAACACTATTTACCCGTTCTAAAGATATGATTCGATTTCATTAGTAATGTTCAACTTTTCACAAAGATGAATGCCATCTTAAAACTTAATAGAGATTGGTTTTATATTTAGATTTATATAATGGTTATGTGAATATATTGAAATACTGGGGAAATTCCTTCCCACTGTCTCAGAACCAAGCAAGATTCATCTGTGTTTCATGTTCATTTGCCTCTTAAAGGCAAGAGTTGAAGATAAGGTAGCAATGTCTACTTTATATTTTTGGCCTTAACTATGCCAATCTAATTAGATTCCTTGTATCTAAAATGATTCCTTTTACTTATTGAAAGGCATTTTAGTGTGGTTTATGTGTAATATCAAATAAAGGTAACTTAACACTTCTCACTTTTTTTTAAAAAGTGTTTTCTTTTGTTCATAAAAGGACCATAGAAATGACTAAAACTGACCTCTAATTTCTTCTCTCTCAAAAGCAGAACATAGGACAGAAAGAAAAAATACTCTATCCCTCAATGCTCTGCACTACTTTACAATTTCCATCTGTCCCCATTAGCAATTAATCATTAAAAAAAAGTTTGACAGCCATTTAAAGTTGTTAGTAGATTTTTGCTTATTAGTTTTTTCCTATCTCCTACCTTAGAATGAGTCCCCGCTTGTTCGTTAGTAAATCATCACACTAAAATGCAGTATTTTCAGAAATACAACCTCCAATAAAAACAAGTGTAAATCAATTCGCAAATAATAATTTTAATAAAATTTTTACTAGTCCCCAAACTCCATGCTGCATAATCAGCGTTTTAAAAATCATTCTCCTTCCTACCATCCCAGAGAGACTAGAAAATTTAAGACCTATCGGCCAGGCACAGTGGCTCACGCCTGTAATCCCAGCACTCTGGGAGGCCGAGGCGAGCGGATCACAAATTCAAGAGATCAAGACCATCTTGGCTAATACGGTGAAACCCCCTCTCTACTAAAAATACAAAAAATTAGCCGGGCGTGGTGACGGGCGCCTGTAATCCCAGCTGAGCAGGAGGCTGAGGTAGGAGAATGGCGTGAACCCGGGAGGCGGAGCTTGCAGTGAGCCGAGATCGCGCCACTGCACTCCAGCCTGGGCGACAGAGCGAAATTCTGTCTCAGAAAAAAAAAAAAGAAGAAGAAGAAGAAAGAAAAATAAAGAAAAGAAAAGAAAATTTAAGACCTATCAATATGCTTGAAATTCTTCCCCTAACAGCAAATTTATATGAAGATTCACCACTGAATATCTTGAGATATTTGAGACTTCTTATCACCTTCTATCCTCAGCCCTTTGTTGATGTTTCTCATGATATTTCTTACACTCTACTTGTGTTTTTAAAAGCTTCTTTTACTTCATCCCTCTGAAACACCCAACTCCCTGAGGGAATGAGCTTTGTCATACTCATCTTGTAATTCCTTGAGCAAGCACACACACCACGCTTAAACAAATCAATAATTATTTCTGGAACTAAGTTGAGCTTGGGCTAATCAAGATCAATTTTCTTTGAGAATAACACTCAAAGACTCTGAAATGCATTCTACTGTTACCTATTCTGATATCAGTTTGCTTAAATAGCATAGAAATAAGCATATTTCACATTTAACTTGACATTTATTTGTTGAGAAAACGGATTCACAGGCTCTAGGCAATAAAGTCTGATGTGAGAAGCAGACCTGTCTGAAAACACCAGGAGTCACTGTGGGCAGCCTAGACCATGAGCTGGAATCACTCCATCCTCCTCTTTCCCAGCAAGAGAGGCTGCAACCACGCTCAACTTCTGACAGGACCATGGCTTCCTCCCTCAGTAAGGCAGACCCAACTTCCCATGAACCTCAAAGTCTCCACAAGCCTGACAGCTTAATTTCTCAGATGACTGCAGGCATCCACAACTATAGTGTCTGGTTGGTAGGATTACACACTGATACGTTTGATCGACCACTTATTCTAAAAGAAGGGAGAACAATAAGGGAAGGGATATCTCAAGTGGAACGAAAATCTATGCTGTGTCTAGCAGATTGGCAAAACTCTGGGAACCTCCTATGTGGAATAAGAGGGAAACAGGGAAACCACCTCCTTCCCCTACTTCATCCTGGCTTTGTAAACATTCCCTTTTCCCAACAAAGTGTATTCCTTAATCTATGCCATATGCCATTGTGGAATTTCTCCAGATCTCTGATGACAAGTGCCAATCCAGATGGGACCTACCTGACAAATCTAAACCTTTCAGAGTTTAGTGAACAGTAGTTAATAACAGATGCCACATGCCAAACACCATGCTAGAAGTTTCATATTTCATTTACTCAGCACAACCACCCTTTTGAGGAACTGCCTGCATTTTACAGATGATGAAATAATTATTCAGCTAAAAAGACAGAAGCATGCTCTAAACTCAGGTTTATCAAACTTCAAAATGTATCTTCTTGAGCTTTGAAGCTGTACTCTTCTCAGGCCTCCACAATTCCACTGATGGAAATAAACTTTAGGAACACTGCTTGTAGGAAGATTAAGTCTACTCCCTAAATGTTGAACCCTATAATCTCCCTCAGAAATAGGCGTACAGTTTCTACTTGAACAAACCCTTTGACAGAAAATTCACTAAATAAAACATGTTGTACTGGGACACCTATTCCTATTCTTCTTGTATATTTTTTAAAAGAATTGTATCAACGGAAAACTACTGTTTTTACTTTTTTGAAAAAATGTGTCATTTCCAAATGAAACAGGCAATTTATATTGGTCAAAATGCCAATCTAAATGTTTTCTTCAAGTTCTTATATTACCCTCAAGAGGGCTATGCTGGTACTGAAAGCAAAGACTAATTGCATTTTCTTCTGTTACTCTAGGAATAAGACAATAGTAATTACAGGTAGAGGTAAAATAAAGCTGGGGGAAAAAAACAGGAAAGGTAATACGAGTTCTGTGACAAGCTTCAGTGATAACTATGGGCCAAAAGATAGCATGTATAGAACAAAACAGATATGGAAAAGGACAGCTGTACAGAGCTAAGGCAGTTATAGTGATTAAAAAGAGACAATGTGAAAACAAAGTCACAAGAAAGGAAGGAACAAGGAAGAGCCAAAACTTTCTATGAAAACAATCTCCTCTCATGTGTTGCAAAAACATCGCACCATACTGCCAAGTCACTCTCCCCACCAACAGAACCCCAAACCATCAACTTTAAATTGGGAAAATAGAATAATTACACCAACAATGGTAAACTTTGAGAATTTCTTAAACAGATACGAACAATATGCAAAATAATTGCTATCCCTCTCCCAAATATATTCTCTTGTACACCAAAAGAATGTCTGAGATACAAAACTACAAGTGATAAGTCCCCCAAAAAGGGGCATACTGGAACATAAAATCAATCTTTGGCATTCACTGTGGTCATTTCCAAGTTAGGATGTTATTCCTAACCAGTACCGTTCACAGCATATTCTACACTGTTTCTTCTCCAAGCACTTTGGTTATTTGCACCATACAATAATTTAAAGGATTCCGTTGACTCACTAATAAATGAAACATTAAATAACTTAATGATGATCCTAATAAACGATTTTCCTCAACTAATTTTGAATACATTCAACTTCATTCAAATGAAGTAAACAGGTTGACTAAAATTGTCTATTAAAATGCAATTAATACTCTACTATTCTATTAAGATTCCTGGAGTTACATTACGAAACTCACTCATAATTTGCCTCATTCCAAACCTAAGAGGTGAAATGTCAAAACTTCCTAATAAAGACCACAAATTACCAAATAAGAGCTTGGTCACAATAGTTACTGTGGTCAGCTATTTGAGAACCTCCAGGAGGCCTCATTTGACTAAAGCACGCTATATAGTTAATTTTCAACTTGCTTTGGAATAAGCCTCACATTTTAGGAATAATTAATAAACTGCCTCTCACTGTTCTGTCACTAGAAAAAGACCTTCACCTTGATAATGGTGTTGAAATAAACTCTACCTTACTCAGAAGCATGCATGTCCATTCGTGAGGGTAGGGGACACTGACAGGAGGAAATAGGAATGTGTGTGAATATCTAATCAGTTTCCAGAGTTGCTTTTCCCTGAACTACATCGTGGCGTCCTCCTTCAGTTTACTTTACAGACAGGTATTAAAACACTGCTGTATAAAATTCACTATTTTGTGTTTCACAGGACAGTTGTTGAAATAAGAAAAGCTGTGCTTCTCCAAAGTAGCAGAATGTTGTCTCCTTATAGACAAGATGTTCTTTTTGTTTTCACAGTCAAGACTTCAGAGGCAAATGCCTGATCCACATTTAAGAACTATGTAAAATCTTGTATGAGCTGCATATTAAGTTTCCCACCAGTCATTCCTATTCTATCTGTACTTTACATGCCCTGCTGTTTTCTATTTTAATACATTTTAAAGCACTTTATAAGCTACTTCAAATTCCTTGTAGGATTAGGAGGGATAAAATACGAACTACAAAGAATAAAGGAAGCTCGGTCATTTATTCAACGAACACTGGCTATCTACTCTACTCTAAGTACCATTCTAGGCACCTGGGGTACAGCAGAGTTTGCATTCTAGTGAGAAGACAGACAAATATGCACATATGTCAAGGGGTTTTTAAGTGTTAGAGACAACAGTAAGGCGCTAGAGAGTAACTGCGCAGAAGGTAACAATTTTAGAAATATAGGGAAGGCCTTTCTAAAGAAGGTGCAAAGATCTAAAAGAAATGAAAGATGAGGCCGGGCGTGGTGGCTCAAGCCTGTAATCCCAGCACTTTGGGAGGCCGAGACGGGCGGATCACGAGGTCAGGAGATCATCCTGGCTAACACAGTGAAACCCCGTCTCTACTAAAAAATACAAAAAAAATAGCCGGGCGAGGTGGCGGGCGCCTGTAGTCCCAGCTACTCGGGAGGCTGAGGCAGGAGAATGGCGAAAACCCGGGAGGCAGAGCTTGCAGTGAGCTGAGATCCGGCCACTGCACTCCAGCCTGGGTGACAGAGCGAGACTCCGTCTCAAAAAAAAAAAAAAGAAATGAAAGATGAACTCATGCAATGATCTAGATATAGAGTTCTAGGTGGAGAAAACAGTAATGCAAAGGCCCATAAAT